CTATATTAGTTAATATTTTTAATTAATATAAAAAACCTTAATTTAGAATAACCAAATCCTACCAAAGAATAAACATCTGAAGCTAGACAGAATGAATTACGTCAATCTCTTACGACCTGGATTATTAAAGACTCGATGCCAATTCACATTGTAACAAGTGAAGCATTCCGTAAATTTATACGTAACCTGGATTCTGCATTTATTATGCCGTGTTAAGAAACTGTAAAAAAATTAATTTTTACAGCATATGACTATTGCCTACCAAAGCTAAAAAACCAATTAATTAGTGAAGCAGTCTCTGTGTTCCTGAGTTTAGATTTATGGACAGCCCGCAGTCGTCAAGGCTATATTGGTATTACTTGTTCTTTTATTAATGATAGTTGGAAGCTTTGCGAATTTGCCTTAACGATTAAATACGTTCGATATTTACATACAACTGAACATATAAGCGAAATATTAAGTGCTATCATATATGAATGGATGCTTCATGATAAAATTTTTATTATCACCACTGATAACGGCCTTAATATTAAAAAAGCCATATTAGACATGGAAGAAGCTAATTGGCTAAACTGTACTGCCCACACATTGCATCTTGTTGTTACAAAGGGACTAATTCCAGTAAAAGTATTAGTCAAAAGAGTTAGACATTTAATTAGTTTTTGCATGCGTCCTAAACAAAGTGAAAGACTTGAAGAAGTCCAAGCTAAATTTCCTGAAATTAGAAATACAAATGATTTGGAAGATGAAAATGATGACAATAATAATAATCATAATAATAATTTTGAGGTAAATATATATTTATTCGTTGTTGCTCATTTTTTTGATTGTCACTTCACCGACAGGTCATTTACCCGGCATCACATAGGGTTAGAGTTAGTGTATTTATTATGTGAGTATATATTATTGGTAAGTTATCACCTTGCGTGATGTCAGGTAAATGGCCTTTTGAAGAAGTGACCACCGAGAAAATTAGACGTAACCTTATTTATTATTAATTATAATTTAAAATATATTCTAATTTATTAGAATATCGGAAATGTTTCTGAATACTTGCATACTATTGCCGACTGCCCAACGCGATAGAACTCATCTTATCTTGCGTGGAATCGGCTACTTAAATTAAAAGGCCATATTGGTCTTCTTAAAAATTTACTTTCAGCCAAATCTGACTCTGATTCTAAAAAAGACTTTAAACATTTAAAAAAAATTTCACTTTATGATGACAAATGGGATGCACTCCAAGACCTAGTAGAAATTCTTGAACCGTGTGCTGAAGCTACTAATTATTTAGGTGGAAGCAATTATTGTACCTATTCAATAATGGTCCCTACTCTAATTGAACTTAAAAAGAGATATCAGCCATCAGTTGTCAACAATAATATTGTAGATAAAATTAATTATGAAGATGACGAAAACCTATTTGAAGATGCTACAATTGATGAAGAAGAGGAGGTGCAAACTTATACACCAATTAGTATAGATCTTGACGAAGTTAAAAGTAATTTGTACAATGCAATAAGCCACTATTGGCCCAATTTAACAACACCTAATTCATTTTTACCTTGTCTTTTGGACCCCAGGTGTAAATCTTTAACTTTTGTCACATTCGATGAACAGTTTGCTACTGAAAACTTGCTCTACGAAGAATACAGTAAGATGAAAAATAATTTAAATAAAGAAAACAAAATTCTAGACCAGCAGTTAAATCAACTTCTACTGGAAAAAATGCTAAAAATAGCATTCTTTCCAGTTTCAAAAAATATACACCAGCTACAGTTGAGGAGCTTTCAGATTATTTAAAGCTCGAGGAGATTGATTTTGATTGTGATCCGTTTGTATGGTGGCATGAACGACGCAATAAATTCTCAGTTATGAGCCAACTAGCAAAAAAATATTTAGCTGTTTATACATCTTCAACAGCTAGTGAAAGACTTTTCTCAGACGCAGGAAATTTAATAACTGCCAAGAGAACGCGAATAAGTCCTATATTATTTAAAAGATTAATGTTTTTAAAAAAAAATGAAAAATACTTGAATAGTATTTATCCATCTTAATATAGTAAGTATAAATAGAAATAATAGACAGAGTAAAATCTGCAGATTTATACTTAATTAGGGTTAGTTACCATTTTAGATAAGATTTGCATCAACAATGTAATTATATATGTTGTGTACAAGATTTTATGTACGTATGTACGTACGTAAATATCTTTACTTTTATTATATTGATTTAGCACTGCTTAATTTCCTGGATTTAAATATTTTTAACAATGGGTATAGCTTTGTGATTTAGTATTGAAAATTTACAGATAGGTATATTACGTATTTATTGTTCTCTATTATTATAATTTTTAGATAAGACTATACAAACTTAATAAATTGGTTTGCATAACCCAGCCGGATCAAATTTTACAAAATTTTAAAAAAAAATTTTAAGTATATTTACTATCTGAGTGGGTTTTTTAAAAAAATTTCTAAAAAATTTTATATTTTTTATATATAAAATTTTTTGAAAATAAAATTAAAAGCCGGGTTGCCAGATCATATGTTATGAGAACCGATTTATTAAGTTTGTATGGCCTAATGGGTTGATAATTTTTTTTAATTTCTGAACGATTTATCTTAACTGTAATGCTAGTTGTAGCATATATTATTACATTGAATTTGTGACTGATTCAAGATCAAAAACTCAAATTAAATTAAGTTGAATTTTTATTATTAAAAAGACTTTATCTATTAATTTTATTTATCTATTTACATCATTCACTAATATATACTTTCTTACTTATAGAAGTTATACCCAACAAGCACAGTAAAAGATATAAGGACTCAATAAAAAATATAATTGAACAAATAG